GCAGTGGTGTGAGTCTCATTCCTGTAAACTTGGGGAAGTATGAATTTGTAAAGACCCTCTTTTTGTTGTAGTTAGAGAAAAAAAAAAAAACCCCACTGTGTAGGAAGACCCCACCTAACAAAGGACCCTAGTGGAGCAGTCCGCCGTGCGAAGCAGAGAACACTGGAGCAGCTTCCAGGTCAGTTCTCATAGGAGGTGAGTTAACAAGGTCTCCAGGTGAAAATCCTAAGCTTAATTTGTGTGAATTTCTACCTCTAGGGTGCTGCTCAACTTTCTAGGAATTTATTATGGAAAGGTTTTAGAAACAGAAGGAACCAATTAGATACTTTTTAGTGCCCCAGAATTTTAGGCCTGTGCGGTTGAAATTACACAGTTGGCGTCATTTGCTATCTCAAGAGTTGGGTGTTGAGCTTTTCAGGGTATCTACTCAGTGGTATGTGCTTTTCTCTATTTTCCCTAGTTCTAACCTCTGCCAACTTGATCGTTTCCCTTGACCCCTTTAGCCTTGTAAGTTTTCCCTTTCACTTTAGGACCCGTCGTTGCTGGTGTGTGTGAAACATTTGGCTTGACCAGTACTGTAACGTTGGTGATGTTTGCCCCGAGGGCCACAACACCCTTTGCTCCTACCCCTAGATCCATGCTTCCTGTTCTTACGATGAAAACCAAGACTGATCATTCAAGATATAAATCAGTAAGACAGCGGATTTTGTATGTTGGACACCTCCTTCTAATCTGGAGCAGGTAGTTGCAGAGACTGCTGAGAAGGAGAAAGCTCTAGTCTCCAAGTTGCTTCGCCTAAGTGGGAAAAAACAAGGACCTACAATGGGGAAGCTTAATTGAAAGTGCAAGTAGCTGGCAGCCTACTTGTGACTGTTAGGTAGGGATCAAATACCTTGAAGCTAAAGATAACAAAGTAGCACTTTAGGTAGTAAACACACAGTTGAGACAGAGTGTGTGTGTGTGTGTGTGTGTGTGTGTTGGGGAGACTCCAGGCATCCCAGGAATCATAGGCAAGATAGGACCAGTGGAAAGACTGAATGGGAGAGTCGCTGTCTGGAGAGCCTGAAGAGTAAAAAAAAAAAAAAAAAACCAATTTGGGAATGTTCCCTTCTGTGAACTTGGGCAGCGTGGATAGACGTACCCCCAAATCGGCTGTTAGGTACTTAATACCTTTCATATACATATGTTGTGTTACAACTTTTCATCCAGATTAGTGGATACTCAGTATACCTTTGTTGTCTGGGTGATTTGTATCAGTTATTGTCATCTTGTTTGCTTTAGGTGAGGGACGTGGAGGGAGGAACCTGGTTGAAGATGCTTGATTGACAGGGACAGAAGTTTCAGGTTCCACTGAGGGTAAGATTGGCAGGTCTTTAGGACTTCAGGAAGCATGAGATAGAAGAGGAGCTTCCAGCCCAGACTATGGGAAAGGACTGCGGGGGTGCTCTGGGAGTCTCTGAAACTGTGTGTTACACATTATGTATGTGTGTGTTCATTTCTGAAGTGAGCCTGATCAGCTCTCAGTTGCCTTTCAAAAGCCCTGTGGTCTGGAAAAGGTAAGCCCGTTTCCAGGGCTGTTGAAGATCTGATTTGAAGGCAGCCTTACCTTTCAGTGTCGTCCCAACCGCCAATGATGTATCTCTCCCTTGTCTTGTTAGGTTGGGGGTGGGAGGGGCTTAGCATGTGCATCTAGTAAAGCTTCTATGATACAGCTAACCTTGCCTGCACCTGCTGGCGTCTCTGCCACCTGTGTGTCTGCCCTGAGTGATGGAAGGAGGAGCAGCCCTTCCTGTACAAGAGGAGTATCCTGTGCAAGGTGCATAGTGTTGATGCTGCTTAAAATGGCTATGAAAATAAACGTATCCTCGCATTTCCCATCACCTTCAACAGTTGTCATGATGCTTTTTGCTACACAAGGAATGACTGTGTCCTTAACGGAGATCCTGTTTGAAGTAGGATAAGCAAAACTGAACACGGTCTGAGTAACACTGATGCTTCCTCATAACTTTACATGAATTAACTCTCCATCTTCCTAACAGTCCTGTGACATAAGCCCTATTATTATCATTCCCACTTCACAGACGGGAAAACTGCAACATAGACCCACTATCCAAGATCACACGGATAGCATGGGAAGAGTGGGAGCTTGACGTGGGCCATGCATCCCAAAGGTCTGTGTTCTTGGCCGTGACGCCATACCTCCTTGTCTTACCGCAGGTAGCTGTAAAGCATTTAATACCATGCTTGACTTGTGGTAAGCACTCTATAAATGATAACTGCTTTGGTTGCTGTCTTTATAATTGTTATAATTATTTTTTTGTGTGTGACTCATCATTTGTATCAAACCTCACACACAGACAGGGTTTGAAGACCTGGAGGGGGTAGATTTGGCACTCTCAGAAGCCCTTATTTTGCATGCATTTTCTTCAGCTTGGACAGGAGGTGGTTCTCGACTGCCCCCAAGAAGTTCAAAGCCTTCCACCTCCCACCCTTTGCTGGTGGCAGGACTTCAATAGCTGCTTTAGCCTTCAGCCTGCATCATGCAGGAGAACCTGTTAGCGGCTCTTCCTCTGTGGCTTCTGAGGGACCCTCTCCAAATCAAGATGCACAGGACTTCCTCTGACGCTTTTGATCTTTTGAAACTGCAAGCACAGGAAGGAAAGAATGGATGGGGGCATAAGGAATAACTTATGATCATTGCAAGAATAACACGTTACCTTTTTATGAAGCCCTTTCTCTGCTGAGCCCCAAGCTTTCCCAGCTGTCACACCGTTGACCTCCGCACTGGGAGCCCACATTACCATTTAAGTTTTCCCAGTACTGTCAAACAATTGCCCAGATACCTGTCTTCATGGAAAGAGAAGCCATGGTTGGTGACACTTCATGTCAGTGTGTACAGTGCCATCCATGGGTGTGGCCATGAACAGCCTCTGCCGGAAGCTGCAGCTTTCATCTGAAAGTCTGAAGTTAAGAAGATTGGTGGGACCCCATGAGATCCCTGGAGCCAAAAGGACAGGTGCAGAATGGACCCGAATCTTACCTACTTCTAAATGGTCTTGTTTTGTTCTAATTTCTCATGAGATACTGGTTTGTCTGGCTGCCTTAGGCTGTTTCCAGGGACTCCTTTTATGTCAGCAAAAAATCCTACCATGTAGCATCACTGCTAAAGCCTCATGTGTTCCCAAGAGGCACATCCTCCCCCACTCCTAACCCTACCCCCTGCTTATAACAGGAAAAGATTCTTCATTTTTTAAAGATTTATTTATTTTTATTGCGAAGTCAGATATACAGCGAGTAGGAGAGACAGAAAGATATTCCTTCCGCTGATTCACTCCCCAAGTGGCCGCAACTGCTGGAGCTGAGCTGATCTGAAGCCAGGAGCCTGGAGTTTCATCTGGGTGTCCCACATGGGTGCAGGATCCCAAGCAGGGTCCTTGACTCCTTTCCCAGGCCTCAAGCAGGGAGCTGGATGGGAAGTGGGGCTGCTGGGATTAGAACCAGAGCTCATATGGGATCCTGGCATATTCAAGGAGAGGACTTCAGTTGCTAGGCTATCGCACCAGACCTAAGATGCTTCACTTTTAAAGTCACAAGTAATTTATGTGCTAGATAATGATTCTGAAAAGGTTATTTCTCAAAAAAAGGTGGCTGATCAATAAGGAAAACAAAAACACATGCTTGGAGTTTTTTCAGTTGTACATGGACGTGTATTGCTGGAACGATCCTTACCTCACTCCAAGAGGTTCTTGTGTGTCTTCCCCATGGCACCCTCCAGAGAAGTTAAATAGAAAGTCAATCCTAGGAAGTAGGGAGTCCCAAGGAGGAGTGATTTTTATGTGGTTGGGCTGCATAATGAGACACTGGAAAATGGATCTTTGCTGCCATGTTGGCTGCTAAAAGGCTTGGGATGTAGCCAGCAGATGACTTAAAAGTCAACTTTGCAGTGGCTTTAGTTGTCTCTTTTCATCTCCTGTTCAGTCTGCGGTGCCCTGGTGTTCGCCTGTGACTGGGAACAGTCAGTAGTTTGATCTCAGTAAGATGACATGTGGATTTAGTCTGAGAATTCAGAAGAATTTTATAAATCCTTTATAATATACCAACTAAATTCTATAAGCTTTTGATAATAATTATTTAAATCCATGTGCAGTGGCCTGTGACAGAACCTGATTTTATTTTACTCTCAACCCCCTCATTGTATCCTATTAACGAATACACATATTTGGCTCTTGATAACATAGATTTTCACATTGTCACTGCTTCGTGCTAGATTTGTTCTGATGCCTCAGGGGAGAGAAGGGCAGCACATCATAGTTATTCTCTGTTTTGGAAGCGGAGCTACTCAGAAAGGCAAGCCAGAGTGTTTGGAGTGGAGCCCACAGGTGGCCCCAGTGACCATAGTGAGGCTAGGCTCCTGGGTACCATCCTGGACTCTGGCTGCAAACAAGGTAATGAGCCAACTGACTCTAGCTGCACTGCTACCTCTTCTCATTATGAATGAGTAATTGCAGCAAATATTTACAGGCCTCCTTCCTACCTTTACAACTTCCTGTTGCTGGAGCCCTTTGGAATATTGGGAAAGATTGTACTGGAAAAATACGTCATACACAGTTGCAGGAAGGGTGTCTTTAAGCATACAGGAAAAAAGAAAAAAATGGTTACTTGACTTTATGAGGTCCACATGACAGAAAGTTATGTTGGGGAGCGGCTGTTTGAGAATCCTTAATTCAATAACAGTTTTAAAAATCAAATCTGAACCATCAAGTATATGAAGACGTGGGCCAAAGGATGTCTTCAGAGAATATTCTAGAAATAACAAGAGTGTGCAGATTAGTGAAGTGAAACTTCAGGTCTTGGCTTAGGTAGATTGATAAAAGTTCTAGAAAAAACAAAATGTGCTACAAAGAACAAATCAGGTTTTAGCCAGTGTGCCATGTGTGAGATTATGGGGAGCTAGAGCAGTGTCATCTGCTTTATGGAAGATCCCAGAGTGTGTCCCGATCATGCGTATTTCCTGTATATTTGACTTAAAACCCACTCCCGTGAAGTTGCTTTCTCAGTAAGTTGCTGTCAACCACTGTATCCTTGTATTTCTCTCCCGTGTTTCCAAGAGTCCTTTGATGCTATTTTAGAATGGCAGCCTTTACTCCAGCCCTGGCTGAGGGCGACAGTGCTAATTTTGGTGCCCAGGGTAAAGGGAAAGAAAAGTCACCAGCAGCTCCAGAAGGGCTTCTGGTGTCTGGGCTTGGAGCGCCTTGGTGTAACCAGACACACCACATCTCACCTTTAGAACTTTTATTTGTGTGCTTGCACAACAAATGTTTACCCAGATAAGAAGATAAGGAAAGTATAAAGGTCACATTTTGCTGGTGACAGGGCACTTCTATGAATGCAGCCTATCCCTATGTGGCAAGAGTCTGTGTTTTATTCTATACCCGAGACCTAAGGAGATTCATGGCACATGGGACAGGGGACTCACAGCCCTTTTCAGCGTTTCTGGCTTTTGACTGTGTTTCAGCTTGCCTGGACTCAGCTGCTGTGCCCCTCCCAGTTGGTGAGGCCCCTTTGTCATAGCCAGAAGTCTAGAAAAAATCTGCTCTGCCGTCCTCCTCCTCTCCCGTCCTCTCGGGTCTTCTGGAAATTCGTGCTCCTAGGGTATGGCTGGGTGGGAAGCAGCCGGCTGCCAAGATGCCAGTTTGGGCATCTCAGCAGAGGTGTTGCTGTTTCAGGTCTCCTGGCAGGATGGCTGTATCCTGGGAGCACACATCCTGGAGTAGAAGAGGGGCTTCCTGGATAGATTGGAGTAGTTCCTTGATGTATCACAAAGGTTAGCTAGACACTGCATATGAAGACAGGAGTCCTTGTCCCCCACTAAGGGTAGCTTGCATGGTGATAGGATTAGTCTCATGACAGGGGACCCTGCCCCAGCACTTCCCGTCCCTCCATCACGCAGAAGGGCACCCGACTTCCCAGTGCCTCGGCCTCTGCTCAGAGACAGTTTTAGAATGCCTTTCCCACCTCTGTCCCCTCACAAAGTTCCCTCTATTTATATGCTTTTTTCTCTCTCTCTCCCTACTCACATAGTTCCCATTGCTCTTGAGTGAGCCCCAGCTCCCTAGTTTGTACTGTAGTAATTCCCATACTGGCACTTACTTCCCTAGGCTCTCGGTTCTACTTGCCAAAGACTCCAGTTATAGTTTATAGTTCCTTGTTATCTAATGACATTGTATTTGGTTTTGTCTTTCCAACAAGAGCGCGTGTTGCTCAAGAGCATGGGTGTCTAATTTTCTCGTGCTCTGTAACATTTCTTGATTGGCTCTGAAATCATGCTTCATTTAAAAGATAAGTCATGGAATGGCTGTATAGATGTCCCTTGAGTTACTTGGAAAACCTGTGTCAAGGGCTCAGCTTTTCCTAATTGTGTAAACTTGACACTTTTAGGGGACGTAAAAGATTTAGGGTAATGCGGAGAGATTTTTAAATAGGTGATGTTATACCAAATGAAAGAACAGGCTAGCATTACGCCAAAGCTTCAATGAACAATGCCTTGTACAATAAGCCCAGCCAAACAAGACACTCCTGCCTTGTCTCAGAGTTTATAAAAAGTCAGGTGGGAAATGTGTGTGAGAGGTTAGCAGTTCAGAGATCATTTTCTTTGGCCAGCCTTCCCTGATTCTATGCTTGCTTGTTAACTCCTGTATTTGCATGCTGTCTCATCCATGCTTTACTGCTTGTGTGAGGTCTGAGTGTGTGTGTATGTACCTGTTCCTGATTACCTTTAGGGTCACAAGCCCTCCAAGAACAGGGACCCAGTCAGATTTCTCTCTTTTTTTTTTTTTTTTTTTTCCTGTAGCACCCAGCACTGAGGTTGATGTTGAGATACTAAGTCATTATTTGTCTGCTGAATGATTCTGTGTCAGGAACTCTGGGAGCTCAGTGTGAGGAGGATGGAAATGCAGGCAGAAATCTTTGCTCAGATAAACTGAACTCCTCCTCACTAGACACCCGCATATGTGTCCTGAGGGATGCGGGCATCATCGCTGTGTTTCAGTGCACATTACCCACCCTGTTCAAGGGCTGTTCTGTACAGTGGGGGTAACAAAGAGGCATTCAAGGGACACTGCCCCAGGGTTCTCAAAATGATTTGTTTAAAACAATGTGAGATGGATTATGATAGTGGGTCTCCTAAGACTGCTCTTTAGGGTGTTAGGAAGTCATAACTAGTTCATATTGTCATATTATACTGTCATATTGTCAGGAAGTCAAAACTATCTCAGATCGAACACTGAACCATTGGCGGAACCTTGATAAGAACTGAAAGTGAATAGGAAGAGTAGGGACTAGCAAATACCAGAGGGAGGTTTGATGCAAGATTGGATAGAATTTGGGTTTGCACATAGGTGCGAGGGACAGTCCAGTAGAGGGGAACAGCATGAACAACATGGAATTGGGAATGAGTTGGGTATGTAGTCCAGCCTGGTGAGTAGCTCCCTCGGCACCTGAGCCTGGATCTCTGGTAGTAGCTGAGATGTAAGGACATGGGGACCAGGTCTGGGCTGGTATTGGGAAGTATGGGACAGGGTCTGCCTGGGCACTCCCAATCAGGAGCCTGGCTCTCCTGTGACTATCCAGGGTGGTTAGAGGAGGCCGTGGCTGTCATCCACAGTAAGGACCTCAAATGCTCCCAGTTGCCTTAGGAACGTGGTCATTAATGGTTGTGTTCAAAGCACTCTGGCACATATTTCTGCCTGGCTTGTACCAACCCACAGGGGCTGTACATGAGCCTTCCTGCATGCAGAGTGAGATCTGGAAGGGGACAACCTTCATCCCCTGATGATCTCATAAGGTCTTCTGTGCCGTCTATCCCTTCTTACTCTTCCTCATTCCAGATTCTGGGTTTTTGAGTTTGGTCATTACAGAAAGATCGAAAGGTTCCTTTAACACTTTACTATTTGCAGGGCATGAGATGGGCACTTACACGCCCAACCACCCCTTTAGTAGTTCTCTACCAATAATGGCTCACCAAGCACTTGGTGTGCAGCACAGAGGCCAAACTGTCTCCTGGTCTTTGTCTTTCCTCTTGCGTGGCTGCAGCATTCTCAAACTCTCTCACCCAATGCTACCTAAAGAGAGTGAAGGACCCCTCCTCCTCCTCCAGCCCAATAGATATAGTATACCACCTCCTGGAGCAATTTAGAAGCACTTATGGTGCTCATGTCTCCTCTGTCAGTCCTTTTCTGTCCCCTTGCTGAGCAGTAATGATGGTAGAACTGGGATTGGCTGGGTCTGTGGTGCTCAGCTTGGCTGGTGAGCCCATGCTGTGTGAGCTGCAGGCCTGAGTTTCATGCTCTCAGGAAAGGCCTGGCAGAGCCAAGTAGAAGGTCAGTCATCCTGGCTGACCCAGGAAGGTACTGTAGGGCTGCAGAATTTGGGGGCTTGGTGCAGCCCAGTGCAGACTGAGCAGCTGTCTAGGGCTCTGGCCATTCCCTAGGAAGCTGCCTCAGAGACACCCTGAGAAATCCACAGGCCAGGATGTCATGGTTGCCCAGATCTCGCTACAGCTGAGAATCGAAGTCCAGCATCTCTCTACCTTCTCACAGCTCCAGGAAGGAAAAGGGAGGTGTCCTAGCCAATGGGTTGGGTGTGAAGCCATGACTGTGTCTGCTCCTTTGTGTCCGTATTTCTCTTCCTTACAGAAGAAAAAGGTCCCTTTGAAAAATCCCCACTTTTCCTCTATTAAACTCTCAGCAAGTTCTCTTCCCCACCTTGTTTACTGGGACCTTGGGACCTGGGCTCATTGTAGGAGACATGGTCCACAGTTGCCATCAGTTCAAGGCCTTGGAGAGTCCCAGGGACCACGGGACCTAGGCAGAAGGGAGTCTGGTGTGAGTATGGACTTGGACTCCTGCTACCCTGAGCAGTCTTTCTGGAATATACTTGCAACCAACCATCTTCTGTGCCCTGATGGACCTAAGCCTTATGACTCTGGACTTCAGAAGGTCCCTGTAGAGGTCAGTCCAGCTATTACAAGGGTGATGATAATAATTGAATTCTCCTTTAGTTAGAACCTGAGGGCCAGGGCAGGGTATTTATTTTAGAGAGGGACAAACTTTCACCCACTCAAATTCCTTTCCCTCCAAAATTAGTGTCAGGGTGACCACAAGGGTTATGTGTTTCTTAGCTTTGCCTTGCCAAACAGATCCTAACTGCTCCCAGGCTACCTTCTCTTCTTTGGTGTCCCTGGTAAAGCTAGCCTGCCCATATAGTTCAGAGAAACTCTTGAGGGCTCCCTGAGAGTCTGAAGTGCAGGAGAGTAAACCTGTCTCTGCTTGTTTGCCAGCCCTGAGAAGAGAGGGGCTGGAGACCTGGACAGTCCACTGCTTTCTCAGAATAATATGGTGAGATCAAAATGAGCTTGAGTTATGGTAAAACTGTGCATTATCTCAATAAAAGGACCTTTGAAAAGTATAAAGTGCAGACCTTCAAGATACTGGTATTGGTGAGTATAGTGCTGTGATCATTCGGCACATTATCACTTTGAAGTGATTGTGTCCTAGCCAAAGGAATTCAGAAGAACTGAAAAGTAATGCCCTGGCCATAGGCCTTTCAGATGCCCAGGCTGCTGCCCACGAGGGATTTAGGCTTGAGTCTAACCCCACCACTCCCACACACACTGGGATGTGAAGAAATCACAGCTGGTAACCAAGGGCCCAAGCAAGCTTCCAGGAGTTGGCAACAGTGGAAGCCTGACTCTGCCCATGGGACTTGGAAGGCCATTCAGCTCTGGCCTCTGGTCCGTCACCTGCAATATGTCTTACAACCTTCTGTGCTCCAGCTTGTTTTTCTCTCTGCTCTGACACTGCCAGGCTGGCTTTAGCCTGAGATCCTAACTTAAATGCCAGCCCTTTGAGGAATCCTGTGCCAGCCTCCTGCTGAGGTCAGTGTTACCCCTATTCTTTTTTTCCAGTTTTCTCATTGTCATCTATTTGCCAGTTATCTGCGCTGCCCTCTGTGTCACCCCTCTGCTCAGTCCACAGTGTTTAGGACACCATCTGCCTG